ATAAATTCATCTAAAATCACCTTCGTCTGATGGAGTGGAAACCTTAGTTTCTTAATAATTTCCTAATTTATCAACGGGGAATTTTAAGTAAGTTATAAATAATGTTTTATTCATTGATCTTTTTGTGAAAATACCTTGTTATGATTGGGTAAGATTATGCAACCTTTACATTGTATATATGTGTATGGTAAGTTGGATACCACAGTCAGTTTGTACGAACATCGAGTATCCAATGTGCATTTTTTTAACTTTTTAAAATCGAACATTTTAATGACAACCGCTAATCACTTGTCATTTAAAGAATAACTGTACTGTAGTTGAAGAGTTGCCACCGTCAATTGGCGATTTGACGGTCGCAAATGCAGTTTTACTGGCGACGCGTAGCGGAGACAGTAAAACGGATATTTGCGACCGTCAAATCAAAATTGACGGTGGCAACTCTTCAACTACAGTACTGTTATTCCGATTCTAATGCATTACAAAAAGAAATAATACGTTAAAGCTTGAAAAAATGTATAAATTTGAAATTTAATAAAATTCCGCGAAACTTCATGAATGATTTTGGCGCAAAGACCTCATGGCTAAACATGACGTCATACAAATGAAAACTTACAAACTGAAGGTTATTTCGTTACTTCTACGATTCAAATTTGGATAAATCACATCAAAACGGCGATTTTGAGGTAGGTGTTGTTTTATTTTCGATAATATTGTAGTAATCTAACATTTGTTGATCCATGAATTCAAAATGGCGGGTCCCTCCTTAGTTACGACTGGTCAACTGTGGATTTGACGGTAACTTTTAGCCAATGAAAAAAATTGTTACATACAAATTGCATTAGAATGGAATATCTACCAATTAAATAGATTAAGGACCCGGCATCCGTGCATCTTTCTGTTGTTTATTATCATATCTATCCAATGATTTACAACGAATGTGACCTACCAAATTATACTTATCACCGGGTTTGTACTTGCATGAGCAACACGACGAGTGTGACAAATGGAGCAGGATCTCCTTACCGTTCCGGAGCACATGAGATCACCCGAGTTTTTGGCGGGGTTTGTGTTGATCAGTCTTTAGTTTTCTGTGTTGTGTTTTTATACTGTTGTATTTTGATCTTTTCTATGGCGCTGTCAGTTTATTTTCGACTTATGAGTTTGAATGTCCCTTTGGTATCTTTCGCCTCATTTTTATCAATTTATCAAAACTTTTTCAGAGTTTCGTTTTTATCGATGCTAAGCTTATATAACAACATTTTCGTTTTATAAACAGCTTTTCCAGGCTATTTAATTCATGTAAAATGTCATTTCTTTATTTATATCTGGGACAATAGATTCACGTATTAGTCCCAGTTCTAAAATATGCATGCCGGGTTGTAGTTCAATAAAGTAAAGATGTTTTTTATTTGTTTTTGTTGGATTGCTGTCTTAATGGTGTTTCTGTTACGACTCAATTAATAAGGCGTCCGGGCAAAGAACGAAACCAACAATTTTACAAAATGAAGTTCATTTTATGAAAATTTACGAAAAGTTTTACTTACAATCAGATATTTTAACAAAAATACAAATTTCCATACACTGTTTAGTTCATCTATTCCAGTTGTTTTCTAACAAATTTTCTATTTTATTGAGTTTCTAATGAATAATGGTAATTCGAAAGTTCACAGTTTTATAAATCCAATAGTTATAGCATAGTTCACAAGCAGGCTGTCCAAAGGATAATGTATATTTCATGCGTAATTTATATATGTTCCGGACCATATGAGTATTGTGACCATACGCGTATGGTCATGACCATATGCGTATATACTCATATGGTCCGACCATACGCGTATGGTCCGGGTGATTAATACAATGAACGTTGTTGAGTTACCCTTCAAGGTGTCATAAATTAAGATTTTCTTAAAATGAAATTTTGGCTTATCTTAGCATATGGCATTGTTACATAATAAATGAAATAAAATGAATTATACTCACTAGTTAAAATTACAGTTAAAACATTTTTACATAAAAGAGGGACGAAAGATACCAGAGGGACAGTCAAACTCACAGATCGAAAACAAACTGACAACGCCATGGCCAAAAATAAAAAAGACAAACAGACAAATAATAGTACAGATGACACAACACAGAAAAATAAAGACTAGGCAACACGAACCCCACCAAAACCTGGGGGTGATCTCAGGTGCTCTGGAAGGGTAAGCAGATCCTGCTCAACCTGTGGCACCCGTAGTGTTGCTTATGTTATTACAAATCCGGTAAATAGTCTAATTCGGTAGGTCACATTCGTGAAAAGAGAAGGGTATTGTATTTACGACATAAGGAACATATACGATATCATCTGTGAAACGGTAATTCTATAACGGACACGTCGGTCAACCAACTCGTGATGGCGTCCGTAAAATTTACGAAGGGATGATTTCAACTTCACCATTTGGAACTCTTGGTTTTATAGCTTCCTTGTTAGCAGCAATCCTCTATCAAGGAAATCATGATAGGGAATACAAGCCCAGGAATATCGTATCAATTGGGAGATATATACTCCGTATGCAGGCGCTGCTAGAATGTTGCTACATAGAAATGGAAAGTTCACAATTCTTTTGTCGTAAAGTTTTGTTTTCAACCGACCCTCATTGTCAATTTCTAGATGTAAGTCAAGATATGAGGCAGACTTAAATGTATCTGTAGTATCCTTTATCTCTAGTTCGATGGGATAGATTCGTTCAACATAGTCACCAAATTTTGTATTATTTAGTGAGAGAACATCATCTATATAGCGGAACGTAAAGTTAAAGGATGTTGCTAACTTCTTATCTTTCTTCCTAAGAAGTTACTGTATGAAGTCAGCCTCATAATAATAAAGAAACAAGACGGCAAGAAGAGGGCACAATTGGTTCCCATTGGAATTCCGACAGTCTGTTGAAAAACACGTCCTCCAAACGTAACAAATATGTTGTCAATCAAGAAATCAAGCATCTTGATAATGTCAGTTTCAGAGAATTTTTTGTTTGAATCAGAGTGATTCTTTACAAAGTAGGATTTATCCCTCCCCAAGGCAAGATACTTGTATCTACGTTCGCCATTCTTTTTAATGAAACAAAGTAATACAAACTCTTTCAATTTGTCTTTAAGTTTGGAATGGGGAATACTTGTGTAAAGTGTAGAAAAGTCAAATTTTTTAATACTATTGCAAGATGAGAGAGTCTTAGATTGAATGTACTCTAAACGATCTTTGGAATTTTTTAGTATCCACATCTGATTCACGCCACCTCTAGAATAGGCAGTTTCACAATAACTTTGGAGCCCGGCTTTGATTGCTGATAAAATAGATGTTAATAATTTAGAAAGAGGTTTCGTGGAGCACTTGGAAGACCCAGCAATATACCGTTGTTTGTAAGGACACTTATGTAGTTTATGTATCCAATACAGTGATGGAAGATCCAGTTCTTCATCTTTGGTTGAAATTCCAAAGGAACATAGAACAGACCTATGATTATCCAGGATTTCCTCTTTGGTAAGTGTCGTGAGGGTATATGTTGAGTTTCCAAATGAATTGTCAATACCTAATTCATTTATCAAGCAATTTATGTAATGATATTTACACACAAAAACGATGTTGTTTGGGGCTTTATCTGCGGGGACAACAACATATTTGTTACATAAAGGTCGTTGTCGATTTTTTTCGTACGAAACGTAATACGTCGACTTTGGAAGATAACATCAATGAAATATCGTAATGAACCATTAAACAAAGAGTCAACCGTTGTACTCACAGGCACTTGGGGAAACGAACGAAAAAGTTGAATGAATAAAGGCAATTTAAATTGACACTTGCGAAGGCATGATAACAGATACACCAAGATTTAAATAAAAAATAGACAATATGACAAAGAGTAAGATTTTTAGTTATTAAATGCGAGGGAGTAAGAATTAATTCGAAAATACCTAAATGGTCTAAATACTCATATGGCAGTGGGGGATCCAGAAATTTTCATAAGAGGGGGCCCGCTCCAGTCATGATTCAGTGATTCCTTATATAATCAACCAAATTTTTCCCACTAAATCCGCCTCTGTATGGTCCGGCCCGTTAATAACCGGCAAACGAGTATATACTCATATGGTCCGACAATACGCGTATGGTCGGACAATATGAGTAAACCCATATGGTCATGACCATACGCGTATGGTCCAAATACTCATATGGTCCGGAACATATATATCACGTGACAAACTATATTTTCCAATCACGGTTAGTAATATTGTCCATAGATTAATCCACCGATGATTATATAACACTTAATGCAACAAAACAGAGTATTTTTCAAGCTAGAATGACATCTATGAGTGTCTGCATTTTTACCAAGAACGTTAGTAATATTAAGGTTTATATATGACCCCTTCTAAAGGCCTGTATATTACGACATTTTCAAAGTGCATTTAATATCAGAACAACAAACATACTGAATGAAAGAGACATGCCATTTTGTAAATATACGGGAGGAAACGTCGTTCACAGCAAAAATGTTTATTTTTTCATTGGATTTAATAGAAATGGGAATTTGGTGGCAAATCAAGCCAAGATTTTTACAGAAAGTCCATACATTATTACAGAGATTTTCGATATAACATTTTAATATAGATGGCTCACTTGCTTGTCCATGTTGTGCTAGCATTTACTGTTTACAAAGTCTTAAAAAACCGTTAAATCCAAAAACCTCGTGCTATGTCATTAAAGTCGAGCGCACCCTTGAAGGTGTACTTGAATATGTCATATTCTTACTTGTTTTAACTAATATCTTTATTTAAAAACATGTTTTTAGGAAATCATTGCCAGCACTGTATGAAGTACGTAGTTTCATATCTATTAGTACCATAATTGTCTTAAAAGGTCTCTAAACTTGATTCCTAATTCTCAGTATCGCTGCACTTGGTTAAGTGTGGTGGTTGCGTTCTACTGTTGACCGTTATTTGTTTTCGGTATTCGGTGTGACCACAAATTTTGCAAAAGAAAGAAAATGGCCGAAGTTTATAAAGACTTACGGCACAAGTTACAGTCACCACACAACAGCTGTGAAAAGAGAAAGAAACACAAATCAGATAAAGACAAAAACAATTCAAAATCCTATTCCAAACATAAATCTCAAATCAGGGATGAAGGGGAAACAGAAAGAGAACGCGAGTTACGTAAAGTTCATTCTGGGATCGAGCAGATTCGTGTGTTCGATCAGGAGCAATGCTTAGAAATCGAAAACAAGATTGACTTAGTCGTAAAATGTGGTGAAAAGGGTGGGTTTAAGGAGCATACGCTAGATAGAGCGCCTTTGAGAAATAAGTATTTCTTTGGTGAGGGTTACACGTATGGATCTCAGCTTGAAAGAAAAGGTCCAGGGATGGAAAGGTTATATCCAAAAGGAGAAGTTGATGAAATACCAAAATGGATATATGACTTGGTTATTAGTCCACTGGAAGCTGCAAATATAGTTCCAAAGGATTGGGTAAATAGTGCTGTTATCAATGACTACATGCCTGGAGGTTGTATTGTTTCACATGTCGATCCTATCCATATTTTTGATCGACCTATAGTTTCAGTGTCATTTTTCAGTGACAGTTATTTGTGTTTTGGTTGTAGGTTTTCATTTCGACCAATCAGAACAACAGAGCCAATATTATGTTTACCAGTTGGACAAGGCTGTGTAACTTTGCTCAGGTATGTTACCCTTAACAATGATGATACATGTTTATATCCTTTTATAGGATTCAGAGACTCGTATACAAAGTAGGTGTCAACTTTCAAATCCTCCAAAGGGGAACATCTTCAACAAAAATAAATTGCTGTTTTGTGTACCGACTACAAAACTGACTAAATCATTTGTATAAATGTTAGAGTAAAATATGTAACTTGTATTTATACATTGTACCCCTGCTTTAAAAAAGTGGGGGTATACTGTTTTACCTCTGTCTGTCTGTCCATCCATCAGTCCCATGAATATTTTTCGTCGCATCTTTCTCAGGAACTACATTACAAGGATTTCTGAAATTTGGTTTCAGGGTTTATATGAGTCAGCTATACCGTGTGATGCGTTTTCAGATTCATCACTCAACAACTTCCTGTTTACCTTATACTCTTAGCGGGGCAGGGGTATCATTAGTGAGCAGTAGCTCACAGATTCACTTATCAATGTTTATGCTGTTATTACAAATAACAGTCGCCCAGCTGCCAAACAGTGTCCGTTCATTAACATGAAAATGCATTGACAAAATCTTTTCAAATTTAGATATGTTGTTTCCTATGACTAAATGAAGGTCAATTTCAATTTTCACGATTTTAGCTTTTTTCGTTGTTGAGTTGAAGACCTTTCAGTAGCCAAAAGTGATATTTATTAGGGCCCTGACGAATGGCGGACGCCCTATAGTGATCAGTCTGTCCGTCCTTAACAAATTGTGTCCGCTAGCCTCTATATCTAGAGAACCGTTATGATTTCAAAGTTTATACTTGACATGTATATTAACCAACACCAGAGGGTGTGTCATAATGTATGTACAACTTCCTAGGTCAAAGGTCAAGGTCAAAAACTTTGGTTTTAGTTGACAACCCCATGTCCTATGGTAAAGATCGTGTCCGCTCTATATCTTGAGAACCGTTATGATTTCAAAGCTTATACTTGATATGTATATAAACCAACACCAGAGGGTGTGTCATAATTTATGTGCAAGTTTAACCTTGACCTTTGACCTAGGAAGTTGACAACTGTGTGCCCACAGAGATGGCTCCCATCTCAGTGATATCTAGTTATATGATTTATATTGATTTGAGTTATTTCCCTTTGAAAAGAAATGGTGTACATTAATAAGTATATATGTGTATCTGTTCAATTGATTTTAGTCAAGAGTTGTAAAACATTTCCTTATAACTATTTTGTTTACATGTAAATCATGTGTTTTGAAGGTAAATGTCACAGTTGTTTTGTGGTACTTTATTTTTGTTGGGTGTGTTAATGTTTAATTTTTACTTGATCCTATTTGGGGGGTCCAGATTTGCAAATATCATTTTCATTAGATAATAATCTATTTTTATTAAAGGATATATTTTCTTTTATACGTCACATATAAATACAGAAACAAAGTTAGAAAATCACAAATATAGTTAGCAGCAAAATCTGCTGAAAAGGTTGAAAACAGTATCTGTGAAAATAAGTTGGTTTGTAGTATTGGGTTAGTGTTGTTTAAATAGTCAACCAACATGCATGTATGTAATAGAATGATATGCTAGAATTCAGTTAGAAAATATCAATTTTTTTTTTAATGTAAGACATTTGTCATGCTTGTGGAAAATTTGTTCATATATATGTGCATTCTTTATGTACATGTAAATGTCATGAATGTACATAGTATATACAGTGCAGTACCACATTGATTAAAGATATAGTGAGATATTTCTTCTGATTTTACATTCATTTTTCAGTGGTTATGCTGCAGACGAAATCACTCATTGTATCAGACCACAAGATATCAAAGAGAGAAGAGCAGTTGTCATTCTAAGAAGGTATGCTACTTACACAATATTTATATATACATTGTACACATATACAAAATATTGACATTGTATTTATTAGCTCATTAGGATGCACAGTCAAAAAACTTTAAACTGATTCCTTCAACATTTTCTTATACTTTACATAATTAATTTGATATGTACTTTTTTGATTGATTGGCCATGGTATTCAATGCAAATAAGGTCCATTCATTACAGGTACATGTAGAACTGCATTATACAAAAACAATTTCCAGATCTGACAAGATATACCTTGAATTAACAGAGGTTTAAAGTTTGACTAGACATATACATTTTAGGACGAACATAGAGCTTAATGGTTTTACTGTAGTTTTGTGGCGCCACATGTCACATTACATTTAGTAGTGCAGCCTGTTTTATTTTCATAGGACTACAGTAATTACCACAGTACACACAAGGAGTTTGGGTCCCACACTATTACATTTTATATACTGATTCCAAACTTTCTTACTATGAAAGCTTCATTTAAAGTTAATAATCTATAAGCAGTCTACAAAACACAAGCCTAATGAGCTTTATAATTTACTCCATAACACTACACACAAATATATTAGACTTGTTTATATTTTTTTTCGTTTGGGCTTGTATTATATTTGCTTTCGGGTTTATATGATCCCTTCATCCTGTTCCGACTCTTCAAAATTGAAGAGTCTATCCTAAATTGAGGTAAATTATATGGCATTCCAAATACCGTTTCGATTCCTAACATCACTGAAGAGACATTAATTGTCGAAATCCGGATATGGTGTACTAATTTTTGCACCTTTTGTTTGCGGCCGTATACCATCTTTTCCGCAAGTTTATTGTTTTCTGCTTGGTATTAAATTAATAGTTACATGTAAGATCCATTTTGTTACATCTGGTGATCTGTTTATTTGGCAATCACCAATGGCAGTCAGCAGGGTTTAAGAACATCCGTTGTTTGACCTGCTTGTCAAATGCGTTTTGCTAAAACATACTTTTTCACTTTTTTTGGTCTTTTGGAAAATGTTGTTTGTGCTGTATTTAAACCCCTCTACCAAGAAATTTGTTTTGCATGCACACGTATAGAAATTGTGGTTTTTATCCAACGCAATCATAGGTTTGAACGTTGTTTTCAATTTAGACTTGTATATGCATGTATATACACAATTTTTATACGTGTGCATGCAAAACAAATTTCTTGGCTCGTCCCATTAGTCATGGTCAAAACTTTTGCTTAGTTTAATTATCGAAGTTTGTTATTACAAATGTAGGTCAGTTTAAGGGGACCACTAACATGACTAATGATTATTCAATGATATTTGATATGCAGTTAAATTAACATTGGCACATCTGATCATGATTTCCATGAAGATTATTTTACCCTGCCAAATCAAACATGGTCCATGGATTGAAATTTGAAACTTTGGCATACCTTATTTTACATGTTAAAAGTTTGTGATAGATTATTTGGCCCAGCACTGTACTAAGTATTCTTTTATTGTATTTTATTTGGGATGTCCATCCTTTCATTTTGCCAAGTAATAAGCTTGCCAAGACAAGCCAGGTCAAGCTTGGTTTAGGGAATCTTAACCAAAATTCCTTCTGAAAGAGTTCCAAAATTGGTTTTTTGTCGAGCCTGCGACTTTTGTCGCAGAAAGCTCGACATAGGGATAGTGATCTGGCGGCGGCGTTAGCTAACTTCTTAAAAGCTTTATATTTTAGAAGGTGGAAGATCTGGATGCTTCATACTTTTTATATGGATGCCTCATGTTATGAAGTTTCCGTCAGTCACATGTCCAAAGTCTTTGACCTCATTTTCATGGTTCAGTGACTACTTGAAAAAAAAGTTAAGATTTTTTGTAATGTTAAATTCTCTCTTATTATAAGTAATAGGATAACTATATTTGGTATGTGCCTACCTTGCGAGGTCCTCATGCCCGTCAGACAGTTTTCACTTAACCTCGACCTCATTTCATGGATCAGTGAACAAGGTTAAGTTTTGGTGGTCAAGTCCATATCTCAGATACTATAAGCAATAGGTCTAGTATATTCGGTGTATGGAAGGACTTTAAGGTGTACATGTCCAACTGGCAGGTGTCATCTGACCTTGACCTCATTTTCATGGTTCAGTGGTTATAGTTAAGTTTTTGTGTTTTTGTCTGTTTTTCTTATACTGTAAGCAATAGGTCTACTATATTTGGTGTATGGAATGATTGTAAGGTGTACATGTCTAGCTGGCAGGTGTCATTTGACCTTGACCTCATTTTCATGGTTCAGTGGTCAAAAATAAGTTTTTGAGTTTTGGTCTTTTTTTCTAATACTATATGCAATAGTTCAACTATATTGGGTGTATGGAAATATTTTATGATCTATATGTCAGTCACTCAGGTTTTATTTGACCTTGACCTCATTTTCAAGGTTCATTGCTCAGTGTTAAGTTTTTGTGTTTTGGTCTGTTTTTCTTAAACTATAAGCAATAGGTCAACTATATTTGTTGTATGGAAGAATTGTTAGCTGTACATGCCTGCCTAGCATGGTTCATCTGACCTTGACCTCATTTTCATGGTTCATTGGTCAATGTTTAGTTTACTTGGTTAATATTAAGTTTATGTGACAGTTGTAATAAAGCTTTATATTTAGGACTATCAACATAATATCAATGATTAGTAAAGAAGGCGAAACATTTCAGCGTGTGCACTCTTGTCTACTGCTCTTTTCTAGTTCAAGTAGCAAATTTATGTAACATGTGCATTTTGTTACATACATTGTATCTTTCCCCTGCAGTATCATCGGATGAAAAGCAGAGACCAGATAAGTACCTATAAAGATTTTCCCTATAAAACCTTGAACACTTTAAACCAAACTTTACCACAATTATTCCTTGTCTTGAAAGAGTTGGTGAAATAATGGGTTATGCCTATTTAGGTTGTGATCTATTAACTTCTACATGTACACATATGTATACTTTAAACCAGGACTTTTTGCTTGTCAGGATAGAAAAATACTTATAACAAATATTTGGGCAACACCAATAAGAAAACTTAAATGTACATAAAAAACTAACATTACTAATTGATTATTGAATTATTTCTTATCAGAGTTCTAGATGATGCTCCACGCTTGCCAGCCACAATTTCAAGCTCATCTAAGAAAAGAAAACATGCATCTGATTCTGATTCTGAGAGTGATGATGGTCAAAGAAAGAGTAACAAGAAGCATAAGCACAGAAGATCCAGCCATGATCACTACAATAGTAATGGAAGAAAGCATCGTAGCGGCTCATACTCCAGCAATGATTCAAATGAGAATCGCTCCAGTCACAAACATCGTAGAGAAGTGCGTTACCACAAGAAGTCCTGAATGGCACCTTTTTTGCCTATAATTGCATATTTCCTGTGATTTGTGTTTTTCAGCATATTTGAATCAAATTTTCACAACCACATATTGCCAAGTTGTTCATACATGTAACAAGCCTTCTATGTCATTTCAAGATAATCTCCATAATTAACATGTATTAATACACATGTATTGTCCATTGAAGAAAATCAAAACATCGTTACTTTCTGAAATATCCTAAATTTTAAAGACAAAATAAAGATAATGTTTGTTTCCTGTTAAGAATTGCACTAACAAGTTTTTTAATGAGATTTGAATACTGTAATTTTACTTCATACATTCAAAAGTGGACTTTCTTAAATTTTTACAGTGAATACTTAATCTGACATATTTTTCGTGTACCTTACTTCCTTCAGATGCTAAATTGTTCATGTAATAGGTCAAAGTCTTGTAGACTGGATTCTCTCCTCCCCTCTCCCAAAAACAAAAGTAAAGATATGAAACCAATTGGTCGTAAGAAATGATATGAGGGTTGGAGAACAAGCATATTATCAATGATGGGCTCAATTTTTTTCAAATGAAACTGCACTTAAAGCCTGAAATGCATTTTCTTAACTAACAATAATTTAGTAGGAGAATGGATGTTGCAAAATTATTTTTATGACTTGCGTTTTTGTAACGGCTTGGCTTATAATATTGATTTCAGTGCATCATAGAATAAGTGAACTTTTGTTCCTATACCGGTAATACTCATCTTTGAATCAAAACTGGCATGTCAGTTCAGATCCTCTAATTTAAAAGTTCTGCTTCAGATCTTTCATTGCCATGTATACCAATATCATTTTTTTGTGTGGTTATATATTGGTCAGACCAATATAGTTGTTTTCAGATATTTTATTAACAGATTTTACCTCAGTATAAGTTATACATGGTGCTTGTTCAGTGTCTCTACATAGATATATAGTATAATAATTAATATAACCAAATAATTATTCACTATATATAGTCGCTTGATTTAAATTGTATTGTTTGTGATTACGGTGGGAAAAAGTGACAGCTTGACTTGATTTTGATTTTAAATGTTGAATATGAACAGTTGTTACCTCTCTCAATGGAGGAGGACATGTAGTGTTTAATTTTTCTCTTGTATTGGTCATGAGTATCAGTTTTGTCTTATGAATTTGAAAAATGTATTAAAGATATAACATCATTGAGAGCAATTTTAAAATTTTACTTGTGAATGTAGTCATACATTCTAATGTGATGAGTAAATAAACTGAGGCTTCAAAGTGGAAGTTTATTTATAAGCTTTCTATTGTCATGATTGCCTTGGAGTATTTTGCTCTATTATATTTATGTAAGCAGGACCACTTTGCCTAGTACCAGAATTACTAAGAGGATTTTTGAAATGCTGAAAGAATAAATTGCTAGATCATTATTAAAAATAATTTCAATATCCAGATCTTAATAATTACAAACCTTGTTTATATCATTTGTAAGTTTTACTGAATTACATGTTTGTTTATGTCACTGAAGTAAGTAACATATATAGGTATTTGATCGTCATTGTGTGTTGTGTTAATTCACATTTATAAGTGCATTTTTAAAAACTTTTTAAGTAATAAGAAACCAAATATATAAGAAAAGACTAAGAGGTTCAGCTATGAAATTTTTACATTTCAGGTGTTATATTAAGTAACATGATGTTTTTTCTTCTTCTAAAAATGTCAAAAGCCTGCTTAAGTTCTGTATTCTTTTTCACTATTTTTAAAGTTAAACATTTCTGGTTAGAAAAAAGGACATGAAAATATCAATATTAGTGTGTTTTAAAAACTAATATACATTTTATATTTGGGTTGGTAATTCTTCACCCAAAAAATCAGCTCAATGTTTCTCATCTTGTAAAATACTGACTGATATTCTGTTGTTAAAAAAACTTGAAACTCCTTGACAATTGCATTTGTTTTTATTTTGTTTCTTTGTTGTTTTTTTGTTTTTTATTGATTGTTTTGTTTTTGCAATTTCTGAAGTGCAACTCTTACTTTTGCTTTAAAATACATGCTTCAAAGAGCTAGTTAGGTATTTTCGACAAAACAATCCTGTGGTAAAACCACTAGGTTAATTTGTTCCAAAATGGCTGGAGAAACTAAAATTTCTACCTAAAATCTTTGCTTTATTACCCTGTCACCAACCAATATATGTTTTAAAACTTCTGTTCTGAAACTATAGGTCAGCTAAGCTTTGATGAGTATCCACTAAAGCAGATGTTTCAATTAAAAAAAAAAAATCTGAAAAAGCTTGCAGTCACTCAAGGATAGTGTTGAAAATGGGAGTAGTGTCCTTAGATTAGCTTAGTTACTAAATTTGATCGATTTTTAAGTTTTTTTTGAAAATATAATGAAACTTAACATCTATCTTGTTTCCTTATCCATTAGAATTTTATAACTTATTAATATAAAGAAATTATAGAAAATATTTTAAGTGTTTCAAAGTGCTGAAGAAATAGGAATTTAAAAGAAAAAAGAAGATTATCTGATCCATTCAGTTATACAAAAATTGATGAAAATGTAATGCAATAGAATAAATTGAGGTGGTTTTTATTTAAGAATTACATTTTATAGCTAATAGTGCTCAGAAAATTTGATGGCAGTTTTAAGAATAGTGACTGATAGTTTATTTGTTTTGATATGGAAAATTTATCCTCTTGCTCTTTAAAGCCCTTTTTAGATAAGAAAAGGTTGAAAGTGACCAAATCATTAGAGCAACTAGAACCCTACAGTATTTTTTGTTCTCCATCCACAAATTTGTGTCTTTAGTTATTGGTATAACTTGAATATGATAGGTTTTTTTTTCAAACATTGTGAAAGTTTCAACATAACTTATTTATGTTACGTTTAAAATTTGATGATTTTCACTTTTAAAATGGATTTAATACATGAATAATATATTTAACTTTAACCACATTTTGAAAACATATCAGTTTTATATTTTCTTTTCTTTTGGAGTGTTTTCATTGTTGACATGTTTTTTTTTTATAGTTTTAATGCACATTCTAGTTTTTGTCATATTGTGCAGCACATTGCATGTTAACATTGACTCTGTCAAGTTTGAAATACAACTTTAACAGTCATCAAACATTTATTCCATGAGGAATAGGGTAATAAATTCCTTGTTTTTTGGACTCATATTTTTTTGATATACCATGGTAATTAGTACAGTTTCTATTTCTATTTCTATTCTTGCATATATTGTAACACTTGTATAAGGTGCCTTTGTTTTAAATGAAAAAATGTTAATATCAAAATAAATATTAATTGATTTGACCTAATTTTTTTATGGACATCTGGTTATGGATTTGGGGTTGTCAGGCGGGTGGACAGGTCTTTGTGCAGGCGTTTCTAGCTGTATCTGTAAAATAATTAATGAACCTTTCAACCAATGCTTTTCAAATTTTAATATGTCGTGACTAATGACAAATTGGAGTTCAAATTTGATATGACAATTTTCACTTTGGTCGTTAGGAGTTATGTCCCTTGATTGCTTAAACAATGACACTTACATGTCTTGAAAAACTTAATCTGTCATTTTAACAGACTCCTGTCATACTTTTTGAGTAGTATTTCCAGATAACAAGCTCATATTGGTATATAGAACTAGTCCATACATCAAAGGCTGATTTAACATGATCGTATTCACAAACACTTTTCTTATAGTAATATACGATAAATATTTTAGTGTACATAAGACAATTAAGAACATTAAAAGAAAATGTCCTAAACATTTCATCTTTGCCTGACTTATCCAATTGTAGAGGAATTGTTCTTGAATGTTAATGAAAAGGAGGTAAATTTTAGTGAAACCTTTACAACTATGGAATAACATTGACTCAGTCATATTTTAAAGTACATCTTGAAAGGGTAAAATAAAATGAAGTCAAGCCGTTAGGCATATGTAGTTAGTATTGTAGAAGGTCACAGTTGTTACTTCCAATGACATTTGTTACATGGGTTACATCATATGACATTGAAGTTTGTTTTGAGTTTGAAAATCGCAGGAATAAAATATCTGTTTATTGTTTTAATTGTTTGAAGGCTTAAAATGAGGTTAATATTGATTGTTAAGAGTTATTTACCCTTATCTAATGATTTACCATTGTAATACAGTAAGAGAAGTTATCAGCTGTATAATATGATGGCTCAAAAAGAAGCATTTTATTTTCAATTATCAGAAGATTGTCTTCACTATTTTTTTTTATTATTTGTCATAAGATTGTAAATAAGCATTTTCAACTGTTTCTTAAACAAGTTTATAATTTGATATCATAATTTTTTTTTGCATATTTTAAATCATAGCTAGAAAAAAAAAGGTATTATATTTTGGTGAATTTCTAGTTAAATGTTTAACAGAAATTGAATGATGTTGAAAAAATGGTTTAAGACGGACTATACAGAATTGTACCATACTGCATACATCTGTAATTTAATTTAAAATTTTGCGTTGGTTGCATACTCTAAGACTGAGTTTACAGTTGTCAACTAAGTGTACAGTATTACTCAGAGATATATAATAGTTATTATGATGCTAGAGTTACTTTCTAATGAGTTTGGTATAAGATATACCCAGTAGTAAGTTTATACTGTTGACTCTATTGTTATTTTTTTATTTTGTTAATATTAGAAATATCATTGATATATACATAGTGTCTGTTCCAAAACTCTTAAATACAACCATTTTTAAAAAACAAAGAAAAGAAGAAGTGAATTATGGTTTGTGGCACATTAAGCTAATGAGAAATTTTTTGAACTAGATAACTTTATGGATATTGCTACACATTGCATGATAAATAATGATACTTAATTATAATTTTTGGAACAGTACTAGTCCATCAGTTTGTTGTATTCTTATTTGGTTCATATTGTTGATCAGATCTGGTTATGCTTTATAGATAAATATAATAAAAAGTGGAAAATAAACACTATATATTAGATTTCTTCTTTCTTGAAACAAAATTTTGCCATGATATAGATTACTTTTACTTTTCCTACTGTGTTTAAAACAATTGTTAATAATTGTACCAGTATATCTTATTCCCTCTTCCATTTAGGTTTACCGAATTTGTGGGTAGAATGCAACTTTTTGAGCTTCTCATTTTACATAACCTTGATTTCATGTTTAAATGACAAGGTTTTGCATGATAGATAGACTGCATATTAATGTGTGAATAGCTATATCCTTTAGACATATGTCGCATGACCTTAGTTTCACTGCCATACTCAGGAGATTCAAACTAAACTTTATTGTATTAATTCTTTCTCATTATATAATTGATTGGCCAAATATAAATGTATTTATTATTATGTTTATATTGGTTATATTACTATAATCCCAATTTCATCTTTCAATTATTAACTTTGCATCTGTTGTCTGTTGTGGTTACATTAAAAAAGATTGCTCTAAAACCATCAGGTCAATCTGGACCAAATTTTGCAACAATAATCCATCCTAAGGGTAGGTTTCAAAATGTGTCACGTATACCTGCCAAACAAATACCAGGGCCACCCTGGCAAACTGAGAACATGAGGTAGATAAAAATAAATGTCTTGTATCTTGAAAACTGTTGAAGCTATAGAAGCTCTACTAGGGAGAAAAATGCTGAGAATGTTAAGATTTACCTACCATTTTTTTGGACCAAAAATTTTAGACAACTGATAGTTCTTGCACATAAAGGATGATTTTGTCATCTGTGAATGTTGGCGAGCTTGTACAACTAATAACTGAATAATATGGTTCACGTGATTGAAAAGGTAAAAAAAAAAAAATCTCTGTTGGAAAACCATGTTCTGTATGTTAAATAATGATCCTTGAATTTAAATCTTAACGGTTAATCAGCTCTGATGAGGAACTGGAGAAAAGGTTGGCGGTTTGTGAAACTGGTTTCCAACTCTCTCGCAGTACCAACAAAAACCAAGTGATCAGATGTCCCTGATCAAGGAACAGCGTTTGTCTGCCTTCCTCTGGAATTAGAGTAAAAGGTGCTGGCAAAAACGCATCTTCCCTGGATGATAGATTGATTAAGGCAGAAGAAGTTGACTTTAGAAGACAAATCAAGATAAAAAACAAAAAAATGAGGAAATGGCATGTATGCATGCATCATTGGTAGAAATGCTGAAGGGGCGAAACATATACTAGACTTTTTCCCTTTACCACTTTTGCTTTTTAACCTGTCGAAGAATTTCAAGAACCACCAGCCGATCTGATGCGATGATATGAATGTTAAATGTGGTCCTTAGTTTTAAGGGAGAGTTCCTAAATGCTACCGAAATATAGCAACTTTCTTTTTCTCGAATATCTGTCGCTTTGATGGAATGAATTTGGATAAGGTACCCATTTAATAACAAATACTGAACCATGTGCACATTTCGACATTCCTGAATTGAAAATAATTTTGAAGTTTTAAAACAGCAAATTTGAATAACATAATATCCGTATTGTCATGCCAGAAACAAAGTATTGCTCCAGGGCTGGTGATACCCTCGGATACTTGAAGTCCACCAGCAGAGGTATTGACCCATTGTTAGTATTAACGTTGACCGTACCAATTCTACTGCACCAGATGGGGATTTCGACAATGTCTCTTCAGTGATGCTCCTGGCCAAAAGATTTGAGAAGAAGTCCAAATTTGGAAAAAAAACACTTGAGTGCTACGAACTACTCTTTGAAAAAAACTCCGCTGAACCAAGGTCCACAGCCATAGAAAATTAGTCTTAAGAACTAGACCTGTAGGAGTGGTTAACCAGTATCTATAATGTGTTTGTCCCTAATTATGCAGTTAATGTCTTATGACAGGACTGATTCCCATTCCCTAGAATATATCCCATGTCTTCTCCATGGACTTCTCCCTTCTGTCCTTATGTCTTGCTAAGGTTTGGTAAAGGGTGCACCCAAAATCCATTGGTCTGATAATGAGAGATTAAAGGTTTAAATCATTGTACTTGTTCACTGTCCCCTTGCTGAAATTAAATTCTAAAATGGATTCATTCATAACTTCAAAGGATGAGTTAGTAAGCCAAGAATCTGGAAAGGATTTATACTCTTGGGTGCATCCTTCGCCAAACCTGAGCAAGACAAATTGTCAGAAGGGGCAAGTATATAACAAAAAGGCATTGTGAATAGAGTTTACGTCTAATAGGGTAACTCCTACCTGCCCACCAATAGCACTAGAATGAAAGAGATTGCTAGTATAATCTTAAGAACAATCACCATCAATTGATTTAAAATTAGGTGCCAGAGAAAAACTACACGCCTCGTCAATTTGTTTATCCGTGACTCCGTTGGCCTCGGTGGTGGTAAAAAGATGGTCTTTCTTTTCAAGTACAGAAAGACGATTGCCCAATTCAAGGTATTTTCAGTTGCATGAAATTGAGTCATAGAATTAGTCAATGCCTTTATCAATTTTATAATAAAAGAATCTGAAGGACTAACTTGACAAAAATAACCGTACCCCTTTACCAGAAAGATGGACCAAAACATCCAAGTATTGGTTAGGTAGATGATAGCAGTTTAAAGACAATCTAGATCGAGAAGCCTGACCGAAAACAACAGGAACCAGGACCTGTCTGAAACCATTCACATTTACATCTATGGACGAAGCAACTGATATGGGTAACTTTGAATTGTAACTCAAGTCCCTATTCGAAAGATTCATTTGAGGTGATGAATAGCCACAAGAGGGAAAGACCAAAATCTATCCCTTCTCTACGACTGTTCATGCCTGAAAAGATATCAATATCTATATATACATTAATCGCCTGTATATGCAACACAGCAGCCCAAGAAATAGAAAAAAAACACTTATTAGTTAGTTATACCATTGAAAGTTGTCAATTTCCAGTAATCGAGAAACCCTTCCTTGGATTGTTTTCTGTACCCTACCTGGAAAGTAAAGGACAAACAGGTAAATTGCCTAGGAGAGGTTTCTCTTGTATTTTGTCGTTTTCCAGTTCATGTGAGTTGCAATTGGACTATTAAATTAATTTATGACGGTTAAATTATAGCTGTAATAAAAATCCTAATAGGTAGACAGAAATTGTAAACATCAATAATGATTACCAATAGAAGAGTTACAAAAATGTAATGACGCAATTGGTGGTTCGGGTGCTATATCTAGTCCCTCCTGTGATGAATATTTCTAACTCTGCTCCTCGGACTCAGCAATGTTATAACTGGCGACCCTAACATTGTCAACAACACTTCCCAAAAAATGTGTTAACCAAAGTGCCGAAAAATGGGGATCAAACTCACAACCTAGGTACACAACTTTAAATACTAGTAGATTCAGTCGAAGCGTGAGAAAGAAGACGTAGATACTCTTTCCGCATGGAATAAGGTTGTTATGTCGTTGATATAAATAAAATACAAAAAACGTACTGGGTCCATGAGCACTCAAGCTACGTTTATCTTAAACCACCAAATGTTGCTAAACACATGTCCTACCTTCTTGACAAATACGTTGTTTCTGCCCAAAAATGCCCCAACCAATACCGTTTATGTTCGCAAAACACATTACATAGACCGCTTGATAAAGACATTAGGTATTGCTTCTTCATTTGGGAACCCAGAGATGCAGAACTGGATCTTCTTTCACTACTGGATATTAAATCACTAAGATGTCCTTACAAACAACGTTATAATGCTTTGTCGAATGCAATCTTATTAAAATAAGTTCACATCACTTTCTCCTCGATTTTTTATATGTCGACACGGCTACATATAAAAAATCGAGGAGCAAGTGATGTGAACTTATTTTAATAAGATTGTGTTGAATGCCCCAAGAACTTCTTTCCAAATTATAAACATCTATTTTATCAGCAATTAACCCCGGATCCCTGAGATAATATGAAGCTACCTGTGATGGGATTGAAATTGGTACTTAAAAATTAAAAAATCTGTCAGAGTATAATCTCAAATCCTCTCCTCGTACAATGATATAAAATAGTTCGACTTCTCTACCCTCTAGATTAGTATTCTTCATTCAAAACATAAAGACAGGTTGATTGAATAAGCCAAACTTTGTTTAAAAAATATTTAACGTAGATACAATCATCATGTTTTTAAAAGGGAAGAAGCATAGTTTTTGAGAGAAAAAAACATTGTGTTTAAAAAAAAAATCTCTAAAAGTGATATCTTCAAGATGCTTGATTTATTTATCGAACTAGATTTGTAACGTTTGAAGGACGCATGATTCTTTCTTTAGACAAACGGCATTCATATTGGAATTAATTGCCTATATGCTTCTCTTCTTGCCGTTTTGTTCCTTTATTTTTTTGAGGCAGACTTCATGGTTGATAGTGGTCTCATTAGAAATCATACCACATCATCTTCTTTAATCATCATACAGGAGCTTCTCAAGAAGGACGATCAGATGCTCTTATTATCCTTTTTAAATGATGTCTTCTCTCTGGAAAGTTTTATAGCTTCAATTCATTCATTAAGTTTGATGACTTCTAGTATGTTAATCACATCCATCTAATTGAACTAGAAATTAAGGATACCACAAAGACAGACAATAGATATAAGAAGATGTGGTATGAGTGCCAATGAGACAACTCTCCATCCAAGTCAAAATTTATAAAAGTAAACCATTATAGGTCAAAGTACGGTCTTCAACACGGAGCCTTGGCTCACACCGAACAGCAAGCTATAAAGGGCCTCAAAAATTACTAGTGTAAAACCATTCAAACTGGAAAACCAACGGTCTAATCTATATAAAAAATTCGTAAGGGTTCCGCGGAACCCAGTGTCTCGCCTACTTTTGGTGTTAATCGCAGGCTCAACAAAAATGAGGAAAAAAATTAATAAAAATATTCCCCTCTATACTATGTTTTGATTGTAAGTAGCTTCTGTCCAAGTTTGGTAAAAATCCAGGATAATTTATGAATCTAATAAATGTTTTAAAAACTTAAACTGCAGAATGTATGTAA